TAGGGACAGTGGGAATCTCGTTAATCCATTCATGCGCGTCACTAATTAGATGACGAGGCATTTGGCTACCTTAAGAGAGTCATAGTTACACGTGTGCTACATGGCAAAATGCCACAAACAAATCCTTTTACACTTGCCCTTACTGAGTGTGCTGCGCCATTGGAGCTCCCAAAATTGGTGGCGCACCCGCTGCACCAAGCCACCCACCTAGAATGGTAGAGACGTTCCACTCAAAACAAGTTTGCTATCTTTCTTACCGGTTGGCTTCTGCTGACGCACCTGCTGGATCAGAAGCAAGTACGCCGTCATGTCGCCAGCGGAAAAATCTCTCCTAGCTCCACCAAGCCGAACTTGCCCAGCAAGGCAATGCATCCAAGGTCTAGTCGGCTCTGAGGCTAAAGCTCCATCCATACAAGGCCGCACCAGAGACAAAAACAGTAGACTGCACGCTGCGTAATGTCTGGCAGCAGGTTGGCGATTCCTAAGCTTGGTCGCAGGACCATGCGGAACCCTAGGCTCAAGCTTGCGGCTCTTTCTGTGCCATAGCCCAAAAACCTGGCTCTGATTTCGATACGTTGAGGTCTGGACCGTGCCTAACTCCACGGAGCCGAGACAACAAAGGACCTCCATTTGGAGAGGCTTCCTGCACCAGTGCCATACTTTGAAGACCACCAGTCAAGAAGGCATCCAGGGCCTTCATGGCATCCTTCGCCGCAAGCGATACCAGAGCAATGTGTTTGTCCTCCAAGGCGAGGCTTTCTCGCAAGGAACACATTGTGACATCTCATATGTCGCTTCAGTTGGGTAGACAAGGTGTGCCTCTCTGCTGAAGCACTTGACCGTCCTCATGTTGACGGCATGAAGCTCTCGAAGTCATGTTCTGCACTTCCCAGCACTTGCCAAGCTGCGAACTTGATCATGTAGACAGCTTCCTGCACGACATAAGACCTTATTCTGAGGTGCAATATTTGCAGCCCCAATAACGTCTGCACAAACGGGACGACAGATGAACTCTCTGTGCATTGGGCCCTCTGCTGTTCACTTGGGGACGGGCGACACAGCATGCAAACCGTCTTCACGGCGAAGCTGCGCACGAAGACTTCGTTCCCAGAACCTGTGCCCACCTAGAATTGAATCAGGGACTGCCACACGAAAGCTGCACCTTCGCATGATCTGCTCCATCATGGGCAGGAGCACAGTATAGGCCAACCTGGTTACTAATGGAAAGAAGTCTGAGCACGGACACTGCTACACAATGCGCAATGTGACACTTTATGCATGAAACTTGGTGGTGGCAATTTGCTGCTGCGGTCGGGGATCCTAAATATCATATGATGCATACCCAACACTGCGAATTTACCACACCTCTTCAGGAGTAACCCAACCATGCTCGGAGACTCGGAGCGCCGGAGCGCCACAAAAGCCTTCGCGCTGCAAAGCGAGCCTTTCGCGCTCTTTGACCTTCACAAGGGGCCTTTGGTTGAAGGCACGCGCGATCTGTTTTTGATATGGGGAGGAGGGGGGGGAAGGGGATGATTGTTATTGGTGGTTTGGTGGGGGGAGGGACCATCCTTGTCATTTTGTTTGTGGGGTGAAGAAGTGCATACAAAGACGAGAACGTAACCATCGTCTGTTCGCAATTGGCGGAAGCCACCCGGTGGGGGGGAAGAAGAGGGGGGATCCTATCCAGTTGTGACTATTTCCGAGCGGACACAGGGCGGCTTGATCGCGCCCCAATGGCAGGCATAATTTCGGCATCGTGCCACCATGTTGACTCTCATCATGAAACAGCTGATAGTAGCAGCCTAGGAGGGGTTGAATAGGGACAGGAAGGCCGAAGGGGGAGTGCAAAAACATAAGAACAAGAATCAGCATCATCATCATCATCATCATCATCATCATTATCATCATCATGACAATCAACATGAACTAGGTTCCCGTTCCATTACTGTCATTATTTCCGGTGAGGGGAGGAGCGACGGAAAGCGGCATGATGATTATCAAAAGGAAGTTTAAGGGGAGGAGAGGGGTAGGTCAGATTTTTTGGACCCGCATCAGACCGTATCACGTCCTGCTTAGGGGTATGAAGGCCCCCTACCCTCTAAGGTTCCTTGTGATACTATTCGGTGCCCACACAATCATGACATGGTTCCCCATTCCATTCTTTTGATTGCGCGGCACAACAACACGAGGGAGGAACGGGGGGGACAGAAACATTGATAGGATAATGACATGGTTTCCCATGCCATTCTTTCTACTCTGGTTGCCGGTGAAGGTAACCAGGCACGGTGGGGTAGGACAGGGACTGCCGTACGGAGGGCTACGAGACAGCAAAATATGATGGAACTAAACTGACCAGGGCTCAAAACACTTGAGATCACTCTGGGCGATACCTAGTTCATTGCCTTACCAGTCCCAGCCTTACATACCCAAGAACCATTCCAGGAGCATGTTTGAGGCTCCGCAGACCACCCCATGAGTCCAAAATGTGAGATTCCGACGTGAGCACGATTCATGCGGGTGTTACAACCAGCGCGGCGTCTTGGGCAGCAAGCCGGTGCGGAACTGCACAGCGGGATTGCCATTGCCTATGACGCGCACTGCTTTACCCACCTACCCATGAGCCCATCTGACTGTTGGCACTGAGGGAACAACACGTCGAACAGAGCCTTCAGAAGCCGAACAGTCGCATTCGCGGTTTGAACCACGTGCTAGGTGACATGTTATGCTTTGAATCGCCAGATCGTGAAAGAAGCAATCTCAAACTCGTTTAGTCTTCCATATCCTCAAGCCGTTGTGCCTCAAGAACTCAGAAACAAGCGCTATCTGCACCCTGTTGCACATGGCTCCTGCCACTTGCTGTACATGTTAGCTAGAACCTTGCTCGTCCAATGTTCCTGTGCAGAAGCCTGCGACACACGGCCTTTGAAGCGACGCGATGTGGCAACATTGCGAAACTGGGCCGCCGGCGTCATCAATGGCGAAATTGCAAAAAGAAAGATCATCTGAGTGACAAGCTTGACCTGGGCAACAGTGCTTTCGCAACGCCGAAATGCCTGTGCAGGAATTTTTCGAGGGCCAAACCGTATCCGCAGTCATCCCCCATACCCACTCCGTCACCTCCACTGAGATCACTCGGGGCATGTCGGCTGAATCCTAGATATGACCAGATGACCCTGAAATCTAGACAACATGTTCTGCGGGGCCGTTTTTTGTGTGAGCTTCCTACGAGTACCTCAGCAAAAACTCATCGAAAGGGAGGGCACCTCGTTGAGCGCCCTCAGCTCCACCTTTCGGACCAAGTCACGCTGCCGTAAGGTGTCGTAGAGAGCCTGACCGCAGACGGCTCTGCCAGGCTCTGCTCTCTAGCTCTGGGCTCCGCCCCGCTCTGCTAGTTTCTACCTTACCAGGTGCGACATGCTTCGGGTGTCTCGACTTCAGTCCGTTGCGTTGTGGGGGAGAGACAGTTGAGGAGATAGTTCCCACACATGCCGGCAAGTCGGCTTTTAGCTTGTGGTCCAGTTTCAAGCTTCTTGACGCCTGGTCCTGCGCCAGCAAGTGCTCGAACATCGCTGCACGCATTTCGCTGTTCTGCCTGTTCCGCATCTCCTGACATAACACAAATCAAAGGCTCAGTTCAGACTCCGAAGCTTAAACCAGCAACGCACTTTATCCCCGCCTTCTTGACACCATCGCCAATCACCTCGCGCTGTCATGTGGCTCAAGTCTCCAAAAAAGAAGCACGCACGTCACAACAGGCGAGGGCCGCTCTGGCCACACCCTGCACCACAGCGGCAAGCATTAGGCCCAGAATCACGGAGCGCCTCCGCGGACAACTGCGTCCTACCGCTCTCGGAACAGGGCAAGGGCCGCACGCCAACGGAAGGCGTCCAGAGCATCCGAAGGTCCAGCTGCACAGGAAGTACAGAAAATGGGACTCCCGCTCAACCTCGGTCGGGGTCGGGAAAATCGAATCGGGGCTTGAGAAACAAAAAAGCCCAAATCCCAAAACGGCCTCGTGCTTGTCTCCATTGACCAAATTGAAAACCGCACCAGTGAGAACCTCTGATCAACGGCCACTGAAGCGAATTGAACGGAGGTTGCTCTGCACCTTGACTCATGCTCTTGAGGGTATGACTGGCTGCCAAGCATCACAGGCTGACCTGTACTGCACGCACTGTAGACTGACCTAGGATGACCTCGACTTGGGGCTTCATTACTTGGACCGTGAGAACAGTCTCAGTTCAAAGCCGGATGATAATGCAGGAACCGACCTTCGGATTGAGGCCATCTCTCAGTGAGGCAAATGCAATCCTCAAGCCAAGAAGCACAAAGGGAGCTCGACAAGTTCCTGAAACAGGACCAAATTTGTGCCAGCAGAGGACGGTGCAAAACACTGGTTCTGGCAGATGCATGCAGATGCTGTGCATAGCAGGCAGCACATGCAGCATGCGCATGGCATCTTTTTACCCAGCAAGATCTTCGTCGAAAGGGTGCAAGTCTTTCGTATAGCGCTCCTTGTTCTCCACATAGCCTGAGCACACCACGTCTCTGGGGGCTTTGAACGCACAGAAACCTGCCCAAAGCATGATGTCGCATTCTTGAACGGTACCTATTCTTATCTTTGCCCATGCCCTGTTAGTGAGATTCAACACATTTGTGCATCAGTGTATTCGGCACCTGCACTTTCGGGCACACATGGGCCTCTGGTCGCCTTTTAAATTCGCATGTCGACACCGGACCGGCGGCGTGACGACACAACATCTTCGTAGCACTGCGCCCGCGGGCGCTTCGGGACGCTTTACCATAAGGCAGTTACCTGGCAACTTCCGCGTTCCTGTTCATGGAGAAGTGCCTTGCTCGGGACTACTCTACTAGCCGACTACCTGACGGCAGCTTCTCCAACAATCAAAACGAACGATCCTCCTACACGGGCCGGAAACAACAGGTTCACAGTCACGGGACAGAAACTTCTGGCCCGATGGATTAGACAAGGATAAGGACACTGCTGCGAACACAAATCGACCCTAGTTGTGCTTGTCTCCTGATGGCCGAGATGAAAATGGAACTGGCTTCATTCTTTCTGCCTCCATGGAAGAGCTCTTTAGGCTGAAGTTTGATGTCACTTGATTCGCTTGAGCCAGATCTGCGTGCCAGCTACAGGATCTAAGTGCGCTGCTGCTTGCTGCATTCATGACTGCCGCCATCTTCGCCGGGTCTGTTTCCAAATCCGCTATCCTGCAACAGCGGCCAAGAAAGCTACGACATTTAGCGTTCAAATGCGTGCACAACAGTACATGCATGGAATGGTGGATGGGTGGGTCGATAGACGGATGGATAAGGGGGTGGAGGGATGAGGGAGGGCTGTGGAAGGAAACACATTGGAACGGAATGGACAATGGACGGACGATGCGTTGCGTTGCCTGTTTCTGAAGTCCGCATCATACCGAAGTAATTTACGATCAGAGCAAGAACGAAATGCACGAAACTCGACTCCGGCAGCTGCAGTCCTGGTGCTAGCAGGCTTCAAACAATAAAAGGGCAGCTTAGAGCACTTGCGAAGGCTGAAGTGTGTCTGTGATTGCCCGCAGTAGGGCCCGGAAGTGAAATTTCTCAGATGTCACGTCGTCTTCTCGTTTGATTGAATGAAGTTATGAGGACGATGAGGACGACAAGGATGTGATGAGGATGCCGACTGCATTGAGGGCCCGGCCGCTTTGCTGGGTTCCCACCAATGAGAGAATTGTCTGGAAAGCTTCTCCCTTCGCCAATGAAGGAGCCTTGCAGGCAGTGAGAAACAGTTACGACTATGTCAGATGCGACTCCGACAAATTACGGTGTGTCAGCTATACAGCACCCGGCCTGCAGCAACAAAGCAGTTTTTGCCAATAACCTCGAGCATCATAGAGCCCTTCTGATATTCCGAACATCTGTATCGTAAGGCCAAACATTTGAGGACAGCACGACGTTGTCCAAGATTGTAGTCCTCATTCCAATAAGGCAGTTCTCCCCTATTCGGCATCCATGTAGGCAAACCTGTCAGCAAGAGCTTGACCGGTCTGCTACCCTGTGCCTATGCGCATAGACATCGATCTGATCAACTGAGTAGCGGCCATGTCGGATTTCGTAGCGCGATCACGGAAGAGGGTTAAGGGGGTCTGCACGGCCGGTGGCGAAGCTCTGCGTGGATTCAGCTTTGCGGGCTCTCCCGTGGCAACGCATTTTGAGCGGTTTGACAAGTCCAGAGAATGGGCGGATGTGCGAATGCGGTCCCAAGAATGCAAAGCACTTGAGTGTGCACCACCGCGCGTCTCCGTGCGAAGTTGCACATGTCTGATGCGAGCTGTTGGTTCGCACCAGCCAGCGTGACCACGTCTGACAATCGCTGCCCGGGCGCCAGCAAGCGAAGAAGAAACAAACACAGACCATCAGATGCAAGCTTGCACACCGCATGACTGCAGAGCACGCTGCCTCTGCTACAAAGCATACATTCCGGCCTGATGTCCGACCAGGCAATTCCTCCCCACGACCAATGGCTTGCCAGGATCGCAGTGCAGCACCGAGTTGTCCTTTCAGGGCGCTGATCTCAGATCTAGCACCGTAGTCTTTTCAAAATGTCTCACTGTAAAAGCATGCCGAGACAGCAGCGAGCAAAGTGGAAAACCTGGTCCTGAATGTCAGAGCCTTCGCCGATTGTGATTACTTCATTGTCTCCTCATGGACCGGGAAGGCAGACATGCAGACATGGATTCGCGGCACTTGAGCAGTTCCACTTCGTGACCAGGCCTCGCAGGGTACAGTTGAACCACACACTCGCATCTTTCCTCAGAGTAACCGTCCCAATGATGGAGGCTCCAGGAGCCACATAGGCACCTTGGGTGGCTCGTGACAAGGTTGAAACTCGACAAAGGCTTAGTGACCAGTGTGCAAAGGGACTCGGATGGATTTGCGGATGACGACTTCCCAGAGACCAAATCCCAGGCTTCTCCTGCAGCCTGGTCGGCAGCACTTGCACCAGATAACAGCAGCCAGGACCACGCGCCGGCAGCGTTTGCTGGCTTCTCTTTAGATTTTGCATTCTTCTCGATTCAACGGCATCCAATCTCCATCAAGAGCATGGAATGCTCTTCACCGTATCTTTTGAACATGCAATTGCGCACACGCTTTTTGTCAGACGGTTAAGCTCCTTTTGAATGTACAGAAGCTTCACCCGCTCATATTCAAGAGCCAACCACGGGGGTTGTAGGAGTCAAAGCTTCGGGCGTCACCGTCGCCGGTTTATTGCATCCGCAAGTGCTCCGTGTTTGTGTTGCCTGTTGAGGCAGGTGGGCATTGTAGATCAGGTAGCCGGGCACAGCTGGGCGCTGGCGGATATGCTCTGGCTTATGCCTTGCACGACATGAGCACATGCCTGCATACCAGGAACGTATGAAAGCGAGAGCAGCAACGGGAGGCCAAGTTGCCAACAAATCTATCATGGCAACGAGTGTGCACCCTGGCCCACTGGCCTGTTCTGCAATTGCTGCAGGCGGTCGGCCATCTTCTTCAGCGCCTTCTCGGCCCGCTTCCGCTTCTCTCGCTCCTGCAGTGAGGAAAAAACCGAATGCAGCAGAAGTGCAAACGTGCGCGGCAATCAACTGGCATCCTGGAGGACGAGCCGCGTCAAAGCTTCCAGCGTTGGCTGCTGGAGATCGACATCGTCCTCATCATCCTGACGAGATGCACTAGATCAGGGGCTTGACATCAATTTGCGCTCGGAAGGCACACCTCCCCGAGATCCAAGACCGGCTCACTGCGATATCCACTGCGATGGGCGCGCTGATTGGATGCAGACACGATTTCTTGCCTCAGCTGTAAAGGGAGGGTCGAAGACTGCTACGGCTACTACGGTCCATGCTGCGTGAATCCTTGACAAGATGCTCGTCCAGATCGTCGAAGTCCATCGGTCCGTGCCACAAAACCAACAAGTTACGGCGCGCTAATGACGAAGCGAATTGAAGATTCCCGCTTTCTATTGCACGGCTCTGGCAACCTATGCTAAGGCATGCGTCATTTTTGCGACTTGTCATGAACAACCTGCGTTAGTAAGCCTGCTGCTTGTGAGGACTTGGCAGCAACTACAGAGAGCCTCAACTTGCGATTGCATGTAGCATGTTCGTTGCCGGTGAGGAACACGATTTCGGACATCTTCACGGGGGGTATGTTGGTGACTCGCAAATCCGGCCTTCGCCAATCCAGCAAGGACAGCACTCTCCACACTAAAGGGCCAGTCCTGGAGGCGAATTCGGCATTTTCCAGTTCCGGAGATTGCAGGGCACCCAACGGTTCACAGAGTTCCTCCTCGCCCAGGCCAACATCCCCTTCACTGAGCTGCTGTTTGTGGCCCACTCGGAAACATTGAACTCGCCTGCATCCGCCGCGGCCTCGGTTTCGAGTTCGGCGAACTTGGCAAGTTTCGAAACCACCCACTGCCTTCTCGCACATGGCCAACCTCTCCTGCGGCCCCCAAGCCCTGCCAGATATTCAATTTGGCTGTGCAATGTTGTGCAAGGCTTCACTTGCCCAACCTGATTCGCGTTCCTCGACGAACATCGACGATAAGCCCAGCCGGCGATCGGTCGGGGGCCTGAACACACTCTGCCCATTCGTCTTCCCACGGAAACATAAGGCCAAGAGAGGGAGACGGAGGCTTTTTAACTTTGTAATTTTTTTTGGCTTTGAATTACAGAAAACTCTTTCTGTGTCCCTTGCAGGGCTGAAAATCAAACCACCAGGGTCCTGTTGAAATCCGTTGTAATTAAGCCGTGCTTATCACATCTCTGACACGGTTTCCACATCACACGGCCAGCAAGACCCAACAGTTGAGCTCATTCGCACAATGACTTGCCAGCAGGCCATCATCTGGCCAAAACTGCGAGAGCTTTGGGAGCAGGCGCGAGAAGTCCAGTGCCAAGGTCGCCATATTTTCGCGGATCTTTGCGCGTCAGGAGGCGCAGCATCGCACTGCGTATAAGCGTCCGTTCCAAAGCGAACCCTTCTCACCGCCGCAGTGAGAGCTGTGGCATCGGTGGTACATCGCGCCGTGAACCAGCATCCAGTGCAGATCGCACGAGCTCGGACAGAGGCATGAACTACCGGCACCGATGATGATAGCTCCTACAACCACATCGCAATGACATTCCAGCGGACATGCCCAACATGAAGCATAAACCATCTCAAACAGTTCTACCCACGCACGGAATGCAACCAACCTGTGGCCACAACCACACGTGCTGGAAAAAACTTTGGCCACCTTTCTGCACGCCTACCACCCTAAAATCCCGGCAACAAACAGGAAAAACAAGGGCGGACGATACATGCGCAACGAGTCGTCGAGTCTGAGGAGCAGGCTGCAGCAACGCCCGTCCTGTCCTGAAACGAGCGCTCGGTGCTAAGAGAACTTCTCTTCAGATCTGCAGCTGGTCCCGTTTTGCTTGGATACCGGCAGTTGGCAAGATGGGGCCTGGATTGAGTCCACGCGCCTCCAGAGCTGGCGCTACAGGCATGTTCAGCAACAGAGGGGACTGAGAACTGTGGCCGCCGACCTGTCGGAAGAGACTTCGTAGCTGCCTGCACCATCCTGTGGACGCCTTAGAATGCCCAATGCTCTTTCGCAGCCAATGCAAACCGAGCATGCTTCCTGTCTCTGGCCTCACGGAGCTCTCTCCAGCCATCCAGCCAGGGGTGATCCTCGTGCCAGGCTCTCTCAGGCTCTCAGTGCATGCAGTGCTTCCAGATCCTTCCCGCCTCCAGCTCCAAGCGTAGAGGACCCAGGAGTAGCACACCACCAAGCGGGGCCTGAGGCCAAGGCCAAGCTCGAGCCAAGCTCGCGTGCCGTTCCGCCTGCGGGCTGCCAAGTGGCTCCGTTGCGGCTGGCAAAGGTCATGGCTGCATCTCGGCTGGCGAAACCCCTGCAAAAGCGCACACCACACAAGGAGCGACGGCAAGAAGCTTTGCATACAGCCTCTTCTGCACTGCCGAAGCCCAGCCCTCCGCATGATGTCTGTAGCAAATCTCGCAAAGATCGTAGTCACAGCCTGCAAAGAACAAAACACAGGCGCACCGGTACTGGGTGGCGGGACGTCCGGCAAGCCGGTCAGAGCGTCGCCATGCTATTTGAGAGGCCTGTCTGGGGCCAGTCTAGGGTTTCGTCCACACACCGTCTTCTGCTTGCAGCAGACCGACTTGGGATTCACTGCAATTGTTTCTGCCGACCCTACTTGGCCCTACTTCCTTTTGCCGTCCACTTCCACTTCGGTTTCTCGTGGGTGCTACAGCCTTGGGCCGCACTTGCCCTGGCACTAAAAACTTCACAGGTACAGCTATTCAAGTCTCGCTTGTAGCCTATCTGGGTCTCATACCTCAACACCAAGAGGGTCACACTGCATGGCTTCGGCCAGCCGCAGGGCATCGCAGAGCATGGCAGAATAGCGAATCCTCGCCATAAGAATCCGCATCCTGCTGGAAGAATCATCGTCGGGCTCGTCGCCACTCGTCGTCACTCGAAACCATGACGGATAAAGAGGTGCGAAAAATGTGCAAACCCTTTAGGGTGCAGGTCTGGCTGCATTGGGCACTTACTTAGGTTGTTGTTGTCTGTCTTGTCCGCTCAAGGTGGCTGAAGAGCAAGCACTTCAGTAGCAAGTAGCGAACACAGAGACAACAAATAGAGAAACGGAGACAAGAAGCAATCCAATGATTTCGTTCGCACCTCCTCCGCAGCGAGCAGCTGTTCCCCTCCGTGAACATTCGTCGCAGATGTGCCCCGTCTGAGTCGAGTCGATGGAAGTCAAAGCCGAACAAAGCCTGATCCTTGGGAACGGACCCGGGACCAGTCCTTTCAAATGAACTCGATTCTGATTCTGCCATCACATGCAGGCAAAGCAGACAATTTTGGCGTCCTGTCGCATGGCGTGGCCTTTCGGGCATTTAACCTCTCGCATGCCGCTGCTTCCATGCCCATCTTCCTGTAACAGCAACTGTTTCATAGCTACGACCATGTGATTGTGGGTCATGCCTGGGTCCAGTAAGCCATGAACATCTCGAGTTCCGTGCCCTGCCACAAAGCCACATTAACTACATTGTCCGATGGCCAACGTTGGGTCTGACCAGACCTGTGCCACGTGGCAATCTTCTTCGATGATCCCTGGGACGTCGTGGCATCTGTAAAGCTATCGCCCGTCTGCGTGCAACTGGCGTGCAGGCCTCGGAGCTCGCCATCATGCAAGAGCAAGCGCATAATGCACTTCCCAGGCCTGCAAGCCATGTGTGCTATGTATACGCATGTACCATCTTGCACCTTTCCTGGAATCGTGATAGCTGAAATGCTTTCGCGAAGTACACGTTGCCCAAACACTCGGCACCCAACTTCGCTTTGAAGCACACCATGTCTTCTTCCTACGCTCACCAGGATTTGGCACTGCATCGAGAACTGGTGAGGGTATTCAGGCCTCTCCACTTCCCCAACCAGCGACATGGCGGAAGATCTTGCCCTTGTTTGTGCGGAACTCCAGTGACGATCCTGGTTGCACATTATGCAACGAAACAACAGGATTGCCTGGGTGGCTCGGAGCCTACGTACCACCACTGTGGAAGACTTTCGTGACGCACCTGCCATGCAAATGGCCAATATGGTACAGTACGGAACTGATGGTTTAGCAAAATGGTAAAATACAGAGCAGCATGCATTTTTCAAACTCTGGAACATAAATAACTACTTTCAGCAACCCAAAACTTAAAAACATTCTGTGTCTGTGTCTGCGTCTCTCCGTCTTCAACACAGCCAGAACGGGTCAGCGTTGGAGGACGATTTCGCGCACTTGGGAATTACGTGCAGACTGTTTCAAGTGGGCTCTCGAGGTAGAAAACACCGGATTGCCCCCGCAACGCTTACGAGTAGTCCTAATACCCCACAGCACGCCTCAGAAGACTATGGACTATGGCTGAAACAAACCCTACAAGTGGTGCCGGGCTCCTCACTCCTGAGCCTGCCGCCGGTTTCGGGGATGTCCGTGATTGGTGGTTCGTGTGGCGGTGGCATGTGGCAGGTGGTGCTGCTGCAGTGTGTAGCCGTATTGGTTGGTGGAGCTCGGCCAGGGTTGTGGGTAGCACAGGTGTTTGGAGTGTGGTTTCGATGGGTGTTGGGGGATGGTGGCTGCCATGTTGTCTGTTAGGTGGTGTCCCTCGTGTGGTGGGTCGTGGGCGACCGGGGATTGCTGCTGGAGCGAACATGACCAACAATACTTCATTCCCAATTGCCCCGGTAGATTAGATTCAGACGCCAAACTCCGGCTCATTATCAGCGCTGGGAAAGATTCGGATGGGTGGGACCAGGCCAGCCGCAGGCAGATTTACATGACGTGATATTGGATTTTGCTGCCCAGAGAAACACGACAACAAGATAAAAAATGCACTTCGATATATTTTGCTTTTTGAGACACATGCGGGGGTGAGATTGCAAAAACGGGAGATCCACTGCTGTAACGAAGCAACTCAAATCCAAGAAAACCATGCACGCTGGAAGGACGCTCTCACCTCTTCGATGTACTCGTCCTCTGCGAGGATCAGCGGGGGAATGCCCTGCCAAAAGACAGCTCTGGCATCTGAAAAAATGCCAACAGTCGAGAATCTACTATTGCATGTCAGTGTATGTCACAATCAACAACTTCTGCAAAGAACAGCGAGTGTCCGCATATGCCGGCGGTACATGCTCAGGCGACAAACTGTCGAATCATTCGATACAGGGAGGCCGCGAGGGGCGGTGCATTCGCGCTCTGCCAGGATGTCAGCTGCTACAGGGACTCATGTGCATACGACTCATGTGCATACAGTGGCTGGTCCAAGATACCGATACCAAGCCTGCCTTGTTTGGCTTTGCTTTGCAATGACGTGATACATTGAGCTGCGTAACTTGTTTTGCACCTTGTCTCCACCGGGCCCACCGAGAGACCACTTGGACCCATCCTCGGCAACAGCCAAACCGTCTCTCAGCGGCCCCACATAAGCAAACGACGCTCGATCCATCGACCGACTGACCGACCAACCAACCAACCAACCAACCATCTAACCAAGCAAGCAAGCAATCAATGAACACAAAAGTGTGGGACATCAGCGCCTTCACCATCACTGTCGTCCTTGTCATTGCTGTTGTGGCAGGCGGCGGGTGGTGGTGGTGCTGGTGGTGGTGCTATAGTGGTAGTGCTGGTGGTGCCGTGGTGCTGTGGTGGTGGTGGTGCTGGTGCTGGCGCTGGTGCTGGTGCCGGTGCCGGTGCCGGTGCCGGTGCCGGTGCCGGTGCCGGTGCCGGTGCTGGTGCTGGTGCTGGTGCTGGTGCTGGTGCTGGTGCCGCTGCTGCTGCCGCTGCCGCTGCCGCTGCTGCTGCTGCCGCTGCTGCTGCTGCTGCTGCTGCTGCTGCTGCTGCTGCTGCTGCTGCTGCTGCT